GTATTTGGATGATTTCAAGAAGTTTACATATTAAGTAAGGGAAATTTAATAAGGGTATATAGATAAATGAACACAACAAAATATTCTACATTAGAAAACAGACCTATATATTTGGGACAAGAGAAAAAGGAAACGCAGTCTATATAATTGGGACGGAGGGATTAATATTTTTATGTTTAGGTAAAAATTATCTCTTTAACTAGTTCTGATTTACCGTTGTTAGCCTGCACTTTAGAATTGAACCAGTCAACATGGATTTTCCATGGCTTGGTTTCATAGATCTCGACCGATGAATTTGTTAGAGAGTCTCGATTGGTGCTGATGGCATTAGGTGCTATTGTTTCAGCAGTAGAGGCTAGACAATAGCTTTGAGAGGTTGCGGGTAGGTGAATTCGGTTTTAGTAGTTGGACAACACTATTATGTTTTTTTTTTAAATTGTCAATTTTGGATATGGAAAATTCTCGGTACATTTTTACAAGATTCCGCTGTCTAAGAGGACACTCAATCATCGAAAATCTAGAAATTCAATGAAAATCAATCACTAATTAAATATGTTTTACGGTCAATAATACATTCATTACCTACCTAATACTCTTATGATTTCACCAATAATTCCATTCAGTATTCAATTATTTGTACTTCATACCATGTATTCGAAATTTAACTCATGTTTGAATCACATTAAAATTTTTATTCTCATTCTTCCACTCATTTTCAACCACACATTCTTCAATAAAATAATAGTTTTCATCACATCGATAATTTTTATTTCTTTTTTAATTACATATTCTGCATCAATCTACTATTTCAAAATACATTCTTTTAAAATAACGTGGCTCAAACACCCTTGGGATTTGTACTTCCTTTCCTAGTATTATTGCAGTTCCAGGTAGTTTCTTGGACATGGACTTTTCGTCTTATATTATTTGTCCTTTAGTAGAAAAACTCGTTAAAAGTGATTTTGAAAGCCTATTAAAGTATTTTCTCTGCGTCATGTTCCAAATACTAATTGGTCCTACCTTCTCGAAAGTTGCACCAGCTTTTTCTTTCATGTTTCACTTTGTGTCGGTCGTTAAATAATTTTATTTTCTTAGCAATATTTTTCTAGGTTCACACGTAGTTTGGGCAAGTCAAGTCAAGTCAACTGGGTGGGTCGGGGTGTAATATTTTATTGGCTTCTTTTAATGCTGTCTTCATAGGATACACGTTGCATGTTTATACGTGTAAAGAATCTAAGGTTTTGCTAGTCATTTTGTTTCAAGTGAGGAAAAAAAGGGTTTGCCTGTGTTTAGGCGTGATTTCTTCCTCACCTTTATGTCGTGGAGTTAATTGTTAGTACTTCATATTTTTGGTGGAAGGTGGGCCATTTTGTTGGATACGCTAAACTAGTTAGAAGTTTATTCTAGTTGATTGTAGGGCGAGTTAACTTATTAGTTTTCTAGCAAAATACACTCTTTTAATTACTTTTGAGCTTGTTATCATTAAACTCTCCGAAATTCAAACTAGCCGCACGAAAAGTTATCTTAGTTTTGAATAATGCTATGTATCGCTAAGGGCAATAAGCACCAACTTAGTAGGTATTGACAGTAGGGCTTTTGACGTTTTCTTTACTGCCACATTGATACTAATAGTCCGTGATGATACATAGCATTGAATTTTCTCAAAAAGGATTTTAAGGTTAATTGCATCTTTGCTTGTTTTTTTGTTAATTTTGTAGCTAAAAAAGCAATTAGTACTACTTTTGACATTTGTTTCTGAGAAATTAATTAAGCTGATTAAATTTCTAACTCATGGCAGGTACAATTCTTTCATAAGGATTCATTATAAAGTCGTGCCATGCTCTCCTTTTATCTTGAAGATGTATTTTTTTATATTGAGTCAACACATCTCAATTTCTACTTTGATTATTCAAATATTTGTAGCATTTGGTACCTAAAATACCACAAGCTTTTGTAGCTAAAATTCTCTTGTTTTATTTTCTTTCTAGCTTTTGTGCAAGCTAACAAAATTATTTCGCTTTTACTCTCACTAGAAAACATTTTTTTTCAATTAATATCTTTAGCACATCCGTCAAAAAAAAAATGCTTTTGCACAAAGTTCATCGAGTTTATTCTTGGTTGCTTTTGGATATGTAAGTCCTTGAAAGTTCCAAAATTTGTACTCAAAACTTTGATGTAAACCACCTTTATATTCCGACGTGTATTAAATTTCGTATATAATGTTAACGAGTTCAGAGAGATGCTACATTTGCAGAATTTCTTTAACGGAATCATTACTGGGAATTGGCTGTTGCCAAAAAAAGTTTTGGGCAACCGCCAATCAACTATCTTCCTGTGATAATTTTGTGAAAAAAAAAAATCTGTACACTTGACATAATTCATGAGTTTATAGTTCATACTCCTATTTTTTTTCTAGAGAGAGAGAGAGAAATAGTTAGGCAAAACAGTTGGCAGCGGTTGGAATTTGAGTAGTTGGTCGTTGGTGGTACTTGATAAAAAGCATTTTTTTAACGTAGTTTAGTCTAAAATTGTTGACAATAAAGTTCCAATAATGGCGGTGTTAAAATGATTATCACTTTTGACTAAGACAAATTTATGCTGAGTCATTCGAATCCAAAAAAGATATTAATATTCCTACGCTTTTTGGTTTTAGTTTCTTGTTGTTTTCATATCAAATATTTTATCTCTACTTTTTATGCATTTACTTGCAATAATTTATCTGTTTTTGATTAATTTATTGTCATTGAAAAAGACTATCTAGTTCTTATCTTCATACCTTTTTTTTTTTTTACTATGTGATAATCAATTTTGTCCATTTTCTTGTGGTAAAGTTTTAATCCGAATTAAATATTTTCTTTTATTTTCTCTTATACCCAAAAATTTAAATTTATATTCAAGATTATTAATTGTATTTCAAGGGTTGTTTATGTTTCTTCTCGTAGGCTGTTGTTACGAATATATAAATTAACTGTGAAGGAAATATAATTACAGTACTTTGCGCCTTTGATCCTATATATGTATCTTTATTTTTTAATGTAATAAACTGATTGAACCAAGACTATAAACCGACTCCAAGATTTTAATTGAAAAAAACAGTACTTTCCTAGGAGGAAAAAGAAAAACAAAGTTAGGGTTTTTCATGTTAAAAGGATCGCCCTAAGATGATCATTTCATGGTGTATTTTCACGTGGGTCCCGCATGTTTTCTAAATAAGATAAAATAAGGCCTTTATACGTGGCTTGTTGACAATGACTTGAATTGATTTGGTAAATTTTTTTTTTTTTTTTTTGTGTGTGTAATGTTTTTGGATGCACTTACTTAGATACGGTCCAAAATCTACGTATATATTCTTCAATCATGTCAAATCTTTCCGCGCATAAAACATGTCGAAAGGGATAGTGGGAAAGCACAATCAATTAGTTGCTGTTTCTTCTCAAGTTTTCTTAATTAGGATTTCTGAATATGAACGAATTCTAACTTTGACTACTTTTCTTATATATTTTTTTAAAGATAATGGTGAAGGAAAATATCTGGCGGCTTTACCGCATGGGCCAGAAATGGCTTTCCAAGTCACAAACCGTTGAGCCCATTTCAGGAAAAAATCAAGAAGTGGGGCCCAGTGAGCCAGATACTGAAGATGAAAAGTATATTTCTTGGCGGGTAAGTAGTACATTTGTAATTGCTATTGTTTTTGTTTATATTAGTACTTCACATTTTTAATGTTGGACTAATTTGAAACATAGGCTATATCATCTCACTCTGAAGTCTTCTTTGTTTCAGGAGGAACACCCTTGTGCGCTAGCTTCATTTCATCAGATGATGAACTCTGCTAAAGGGAAGCAAATTGTCGTGTTTTTAGATTATGATGGGACTCTTTCACCAATTGTGAACGATCCAAACCACGCCTTCATGACTGATCGCGTAAATTTCAGTTCTTCTGTTCTGATCTTGAACTCATTCCACATATATGATTTATTTTAGATTGAAAGTTCGTGAAATAAATTTGTAGATGCGCTCGGCTGTGAATGATGTAGCAAGGCGTTTTCCAACAGCTATTATAAGTGGTAGAAGTCGAGACAAGGTAACTAATTACTAATGTTAAATCATATCGAGTGATCCATTTTATTTTTATTCCATTTTAATGATTTTCTTTCGCACATTATCAGGTGTATGGATTTGTGAAGTTAGATGATGTTTATTATGCTGGGAGCCACGGGATGGACATAATGGGGCCTCCGTTGCAAGTTAACTATCACCGCGACAAGTATCAGATTAACGCTCAAGATGAAAAGGTCAGTTTTTGCATGATCTCACTTCCACAAAAGTAGCTTTTAAGCACAGCCAAACATGCTTTTAGACCAACAATGCATAGATAACTATTGCCTCTAAGGAAAAACCGAGATCCCTGTCAATGCTGCTATCAAACGTTTGTTATAATGATTTTGCAGGGTAAAGAATTCACTATCTTCCAACCTGCTCAGGAGTATTTGCCCTCAATTGAAAAGGTAATTTTACTTATTTTTGCTTAAGCACTTCCTCTTAAGTGGTTAATTTTTTAGATCAAGAAATAATACTTTTTGACTCAAATAATTTTTTTCCTGTAACAGATGTTAACTGAATTGAAAACCCGAACCTGCAATATACCAGGCGCTTTCGTAGAGGACAATAGGTTCTGTATTTCTGTGCATTACCGACATGTCTTGGCAGAGGTACTAAAACATACAATAACATAGTATTTTCTGTCTGGAAAAAAGGAACTTTTATTCGACGTTCGTTAATCTAATTTGCAGGATTACGAAGCCCTGGAACAGATAGTTTGGTCAGTACTTTCAGACTATCCTTGCTTCCATATGACTCGGGGCAAGAAGGTTATGGAGATTAGGCCATCAATCAAATGGAACAAGGGGGAAGCTCTCGAGTACTTGCTTGACACTCTGGGATTTTCCGACTACAGTAACGTTCTCCCATTTTACCTCGGTGACGACAAAACTGATGAAGACGCTTTCAAGGTTTCCATCCTAAAATATTAAACATATTCAGTCTGATCATAACTATTTTGTGTTGCATATCTTAAGGTTGTAGTAACATTTCTTGTTTGATTGATAGGTACTCAAGAGAAGAGGACTAGGTTATCCCGTAGTTGTATCTTCCGTCCCAAGGGAAACCTGGGCTTCATATTCTCTACGCGATTCATCGGAAGTCTTGTCTTTTTTGATACGTTTGGCAAGATGGGGAGAGACATCGGCCTAATGGATCATCTTATCAAGATGGATTGCTATATATGACTTGCACTTGCTTTATGTACAGTTGTTTTGCACTTGCTTTATGTACAGTTGTTCGTAGTGAAGGTTTTAGAGATAGGTCGAGAATTAGATGGGGATTCACAGGCGTATTTTTTGAAGCGGCCGTGTATTCTCCCATTCTAACGACTACTATTATTATCAGCAATTTGCAGTTATGTATATAGTTCATGAATTCAGTGGTTATGCAGTAATTTTATCTTTTCTTTCCCACTTTTGTCATCATTTTAAATTTGGAATGCAAAAGATCAATTATCCAAAGTTCCATCAATACTTTTGATTTGATTCGACTCCTCTTTTCAATGTCTATATATCGCGTCATAACTGTGTTTATATGCTTATATCGTGGAACAACATATTTGACAACAAACATTTGGACGTGTAAAATGAACCCACAAACTTGATTGAATGTGTAGACTCATTTGGCTTATTCTATGATAGATAAACCTCAACCTTAACTTTATGTT